GGGAATATTCCTAGTAGGGCGAATTTCTGGGCAACTTGTTGATCTTACCTAAGACACTGTTAGTAAAATTGTCCATTCTTTTTTCTCACGAGGCCCAGAGCTCCGATTGCTATTGGTACAGTCTCAGTCTTTATTCCACACATCCTGTTAATCTCGATCTCCAGGTCCTTGTATTTGGACAATTTCTCAATAATTTTTATGGAGCTGTTTCTCTCAAATGGTACTGCTATGTCAATAAACATACACATCCTGAATTTCTTGTCTTTTATGATAATATCAGGTCTGTTGGCTTTTATTTCCGTGTCAGTTTGAATTGGCATATCCTAGAGGATAGTTACATCTTTATTTTGGGTACCTGTCTGGTTGGTACTCATACAATTCATTATTATTACCATCACAACCTTTCATTTCTGCTCTATATTCATATTGCATCATCGCTGATCTGACTCCGAGCTACCACCAGTCAGGATGAACAGATGTCCCCACGGGATGGCACCGTACCTTAAAGACTGTTGAACCTCAAAGGATGCACGTAAAATGGTCGCCTCCTTGTACCGCTCCAGTAAGTACCTGACACCTCATTCTATCCTCTACCTTATCAAGAGCCAGATCAGGTCGAAAATGAAGTACTGTTGTTATATTTGGTTGGGAGCTGCCCAGTCCTCATTCTCCAGCCTTAATAATCGACCTTAAGTGAAACTCTTACATACAAACCATTGCTAAGAATGCAGGTAAAATGATCGGCTCCCTGTACCGTTCCAGTAAGTACCTGACACCTCATTCTATGCTCTACCTTATCAAGAACCAGATCAGGTCGAAAATGAAGTACTGTTGTCATATTTGGGTGGGAGCTGCCCAGTCCTCACTCTCCAGCCTTAATAATCGACCTTAAGTGAAACTCTTACATACAAACCATTGCTAAGAATGCAGGTAAAATGATCGGCTCCCTGTACCGTTCCAGTAAGTACCTGACACCTCATTCTATGCTCTACCTTATCAAGAGCCAGATCAGGTCTAAAATGAAGTACTGTTGTCATATTTGGGTGGGAGTTGCCTAGAGCGCACTCTCCAGCCTTGAAAGCGGATTCGAGCCCTTGTGGATGACGAGTTATTCTCCACCCTCCATCTCTCTCCCTCAGGCGGGATGTGGCAAGTCTTTCGCTGTTCTATCGCTACTTCCATAAAAAGTGCCCGGGCGAACTATATCCCCAGGTCTAACTTTCACAGCTAGGACCCGCCATGCCACTTACATCGTAGCAAACCACCCTTATTTCCCCCGTATTCCATCGGTGAGAAGTAAGTTCCACTCGAACAGCTTCTTCCCGTGAATCATTGCTCTGTGGAACAGACTTCCAAGAGGATGTTTCCTCGGTCACTACAATCTTAATCTGTTCAAGACTATGGTTAACGCTTATCTTTCCCCACATATCCACATAAATTGTGCTTCTTACGATGTAACCCTCTACCTCGAGTGGCTCAGGGCCTTGTACAAGGTGAACCTCACTGTTAAAAAAAATCCTCCATTTAAACTTCAAAATTGCTTGTTTTTTTTGGGGGGGGGTTAAATCAAGTTCAATGAAATAAACTAAAAGTTCTTCAAAATAAAAAATGCTACTCAAAAATAAAAAAAAAATGTTTCGCACATCAATTTTACATAAATGCATAGTGAGTTCCCACTGAATGCTCTATACTTTCGGCCTTGTGCCATATCTAAGCTACGCTCAGAAAATCATTTAGGACACTTCGAAGTGGTGTAATGGTTAGCAAGCTTGTCTGGCTGTATCAATTTACAACTGAATAGTGAGTTCGATTCTTACTGAGTGCCCTATACTATCCGAACTGCCTCCTAAAGTAAACTCTACCTCAAGTGGCTCCCAGGCCTTGTAAAGGGTGAACCTTACTGTAAAAAAAATTCCTTCCGGGTCCCAACCAGAGACTTTCGGTCAGAAATGACATTTCCCACTGAATAATTTTGGAAAAAAAAACAAATGAATATAATTAAAACAACACAAGATCAAACGTTTACACCTTCGTAAGGTGTGATTTGTACTTGTGAGAACATATTTCCTTTGTATTTTTTTAAAGTATGGTCTACCTGGGATCCCGTGAATGAGTCTATAAGAACCTTTTCCAATCAAACCGAGGGTACCAACTACAACTGGAATTATTGATGTTCTCGTGTGCCACATTTGCACTTCCAGGTCTTTGTATACTATTTACATGTCAGTTATCTCTTCCCATATGCAAGTTCTCCAGTGCCTTAACAAGGTACTGAACTCACACTCTTTGCGTCCTGTCACTGGATTTAACTAACGCCTTTATCCACTGTGCCAATGTGTCCTCGAGTTTCATACTTGATTAAGGCGGTGGAAAACTTGGAGAAGGGAATTAACAGGAGATAATTGATTACTGACATCAATTAGACATGGCACGTGGAACTATCCCAGCGAGCGAAATAAAGGGTTCAGTTCGACATTCCAACCACCTGAAGAAGGTCAGAGCGTACAACAGCCGAAACGTTGTGATAAATATGGCTACAAAGATGATGATGATAGTCCGAACAATGTAAATAGTGTACATAATGCCTCATCTCTGAAATATAGATAGATACAGAAGAGTGATAAATATGGCGAGAAAGATGAGGATGATAATCCGAACAATGTAAATAGTGTACATAATACCTCATCTCAGAAATATAGACAGATACTGAAGGGTGATAAATATGGCGAGAAAGATGAGGACAATAGTCTGAATATTGTAAATAGTGTACATAATACCTCATCTCTGAAATATAGACAGATACTGAAGGGTGACAAATATGGCGATAAAGATGAGGACAATAGTCTGAATATTGTAAATAGTGTACATAATACCTCATCTCAGAAATATAGACAGATACTGAAGAGTGATAAATATGGCGACAAAGATGAGGATGATAGTCCGAACAATGTAAATACTAGTGTACATAATACCTCATCTCAGAAATATAGACAGATACTGAAGGGTGATAAATATGGCGAGAAAGATGAGGACAATAGTCCGAATAATGTAAATAGTGTACATAATACCTCATCTCAGAAATATAGACAGATACTGAAGGGTGATAAATAGCAACAAAGATGAGGATGATAGTCCGAACAATGTAAATGCAAAGATGAGGATGATAGTCCGAACAATGTAAATAGTGTACATAATACCTCATCTCAGAAATATAGAAAAATACTGAAGATCCTTGTATTTTGATAGTATTTTTTCTAGATTTTCAGAGATACATTACCGTCTGCAGGAATGTTCATGTCAATAAGAAAGCACGTTCTGTTTTTGTTGTCTTTGATCATATGTACCCTTATTTATTCTTTTTTTTTCTTCTGAAAACTCAGTGTCTCTGATAAATCGTTTTCTCCTGTCTTTCCTCGCAATCTAAACGGAGTGGTCCATTATTTATCTGGGGTAATGGCAGGAAGCCATGCACGCGTTAACTAACTTTAATAACCTATCAAAACTGAACAGAAGGATGCACAAGCAAAGCTTGTGTAAATGGATAACAGAACAGTAACTGGGGGGGAATAAGATGAAACGTTTTAATGAGAGCATCTCTTTTTACTTTTGTTTTTTTTTTAACTAAAATGTTCACTCAGTACAAGATTCAAGATCCTTGAAACTGACTTTTCCTCGACTCGCCTGGATATTCGAGATATCAGCGTCGGATTTAACGACCGTTTCTCTTGCACAGGGGGAAATTTTTGTTTTTTAATAAGATTTCTCGAATATTCTGGCCAATAAACAAAAATTAAATGCTTTTTTAAAAAAAACGGAATATCTACTCAAATACATTCAGAATTATAAAAATACATCAGAGTAATAAATAAAAAAGACCATTAGTTCTTCTAGAGGGTGCGATGGATAAATTGTCGCCTAAATGACGCAAAAAAAATGAAAATAACACTGGCGTCTCATTTTAACGGATATACAGGGTGCGATGGATAAATTGTCGTCATAATGACGCAAAAATGAAAAATAACACTGACGTCTCATTTTAACAGATAATACAGGGTGCGATGGATAAATTGTCGTCGGAACGACGCAAAATTGAAAATAACACTGACATCTCATTTTAACAGATATCCAGGGTGCGATGGATAAATTGTCGTCTGAATGACGCCGAAATGAAAATAACACTGGTATCTCATTTTAGATATACAGGGTGCGATAGATAAATTGTCGTCCCAATGACGCAAAACGGAAAATAACACTGACATCTCATTTTAACAGATATATTTACCAAATTTGCACAAAAATATCTTCAAAAAAGAGTAAATTTATTCAATAAAATTGCCATTGACTTCAACCACAGCCTCCAGACAACTTTGGAATCTCTTTATCTCTTCTAGACGGTCTCCTTAAAGTTGGTGAATGCTGCCATAATCCTTGCCTTAAGTTTTTCTTTGGTATTACAAAGAGTTTTGTTGGTTTCTCACTCGACTGCACCCCACAGATAATAATCAAGGAGTTTGCAGTCTTGGGTGTTAGGTGGCTATATATAAGGGGTGATGTGGTAGCAGAAACATGACAGACATGACTGGGTTCTCCTGCTTGTGTGGCATAGTGCAAATCCTGTTGCCAGATAATAGGGTTTTCTATCAGCCACCTTCTTGAACAAGGGCAGCACTAACTCCTCAGGGCACTCCGTGTTGAGTCTGAGGCCCTAACCAACAAATTCGGGAGTTTTTTTTTTCTTATCAGAACGATCAGAGTGAGTATTCCGAGCTGTTGCACCTTCGTAATCACCATTAGACTCATTCAACTCTTTCCGAATCCTCTGCGCTAACACTCCAAAATGTTCTTATTGGAGCTTCCGGCGCGAATGCCAAGCAGCACGGCATGCCGTTTCCAAATTTCTAGCGGAGTGAATTTCATCATGGTGCTCTTTTTCTCACAGACGGTGCCCAACTGATCCTGTTATACTGCGCAGTCGACAAAATCAAAAACAAACAACGCGAATGCGCGAAATTAAAAATATAAAACGGCGACAATTTACCCATCGCACAATCTATCTATCTATCTATCTATCTATCTATCTATCTCTATCTATCTATGTTCAGCCTGTATCTATTATCTTATCTCTCTCTCTCTCTCTATATATATATATATATATATATATATATATATATATATATATATATATATATATATATATATATATATATATATATAAGTATGCATATAATATATAAAAATATATATATATATATATATATTTATTTATATTTATACACACACACACATATATATATATATATATATATATATATATATATATATATATATATATATATATATATATATATATATATATATATATATATATATCAGTCTGTTCCTATCTATCTATTTGTTTGTCTGTTTGTTATATCTCAGGTTGTTGGAGTGTATTTTAGCACATAATAAAATAACTTTTATTCATTTATTGCCTGAGAACAACAAGGATTTGTTTGGAGTTAAACCATGACATCCACATTCTAACTTGTCACCATGTTGAATACAGAAGTGCCCGTTCTGACTAGCGGACAAGGGAAGTAAATCAATTATATTTTGCGTTATTGTCCTTTATAGGGGAAATAAATTAGCATCCCCTAACACCTCCCCTTTTTAGCCTTATGCTTGTATGATTTTTGATAGATAGATAGTATGAAAATGCAGCTGAAATAAAGCAGTGTCATTATCAGAAACTAACATGGAATCCTCCATACTTGTCTGTCACCCCCTACGGGAAGATGCACTCTTCCCTAAATTAACCTTTAACCTATCATCACTTCACTTTTCCAAACTCAATTTCCCATTGGTTAAAAGGACACAAAAATGTAGCTAATTGAGATAAATCCTTTTTTCCCGCGCAGCTGTTTGGAGCCTATTTGAAAACCCAAAAACCTATATAAAAAAAAAAGAATCGCTCGACTTAATTCAAGTCAGTCAGACACTCAGTTTCGAGAGATGCCAGCAGACTCGACGCGTGCCAACACACTGACTCAATAACACTACCAGCCTCTCATCAACTCAACACAACTCATACTACTATTGCCGCGTGAAGAAACTTTACTAAAAAAGTGACATTATCACTACGAAATAATAATTGTACATTTAATCAAATTTAGCATATCAGTCAAAGGCACACAACTCTTCCTAACTTGAATCAACACTTACAATCGTCACACACATACACACTATTATTTGAACTCACACAATTGACGTTTTACCTTGCAGAAATCAAACTGTTTTAATTTCACAAACAAACCTAAGCCATCAACATTCATTCACCAAATCTCTGCATGGACACTCTTTGCAATCTTATCTCACTTGCCACGTTTAACAAGCAACCTATCATCACTTTGTGTATGTCAAATATATATATATAAATTCATGTTATTGTTGAAATCTATAACTACGTTGTTTTTCCTTGATTTCTTCAAGTTGTATTGTCTTCATATGTTCGTTTAATTTATTTGTTGTGGATAAATGCATAATATACCCGCACTTTTAAGGCCTTCACACAATTTCACCTTCTGACACATCTTACTGAGCATAAATTCCCCAACACTAGTAACTGTGGGGGCTCCAAATCAACTGAAGATTTGCTTTCACCTAAGAATTGTTTGATCCGAGCTGATGCGATTCATCTGAAAAATTTCTGGCCATTCGCGCTGGAAAGTATTTGAAAGCATTTGGATACGTGAAGCGCTATGATATTTAACTGTCTTATAATTTAACAAAAAAAAAAAAAAAAAAAAAAGTACCCACACTTCTGCCTGTGATTCTATTCTCCAAAGCAACAAAAAAAAAAACGACCGATTTTTTAAAAGCGATGAAAAATGAATTGCTTACAACAATGTCGAGCGAAAAATGTTGCGGAGAAAACGAAATGAGCCGCCGTTAACCACCCTAAAACTAGGTCTTTCTTCTTACAAGTACGTCCCCTCAGGACGTAGGCCAAAGAGAAGACGGTATTGTAAAAATAAGGCCAAAGAGCCACTCGAGGTAGAGGGTTACAGAGTAAGAGACACAGTTTATAGGGATATGTGGGGAAAATAACAGATCGGTTAAGATTATAAAAATAAAAAATCGGGGAAAATCCATTTGGAAGTCGGTTCCACACAGTTGCAATCTGTGGGAAGAAACTGTTCGGTTGAAACTTACTTTTCACCAAGGAATACGAAGGGAATGAGGGTAGTTCACTACAATGGGCGTGGCATGGCGGGTCTTAACCGTTAAAACTAATAGAACAGAGGAATGTAGCTCGCCTGAACATGGAAATAGCGATAAAGCAGCGAGAGGCTTAGCTGTGAAGGTCTGAACTTGGGGAACTAAGGAATGTAGCTGGTCTGAACATTTGCCATGGAAATAGCGATAGAGTAGCAAGAGGCTTGCAGTGTGGACCCGAAGAAGGTAAAATTGTGTATCTTGTGGGATTGGAAAGGAATTGGTTATTATGTGCTACTTCGGCAAAATCATATTTCTTTATATCATCTCAGGACGTAGACGATCATGGCTCTCCACGACTCCTGTACCTTTTAGCTCTTAATAACTTTTGTCTTTGTCTTATTTCTCCTAAACCTTGTTCCGCCATCCATTTTCTCAAGTGTGTTATACGTTGACCTTCTTGCCTTCAATCTGTTCTGTGAGTATCTAATTTTCCGAGCACTCTTTCCTCATTATGTGCCCTAGAAATGTCCGCCGTCTCTTGATATTAAGTATAAGTTTCCTTTTTTTTCCCATTTTCTCCAAAACCTCGTCGTTGCTCACTTTTTTTTTTTTTTTTTTTTTTTTGGTTGTGGAGAGACGTGATTGTTTATATCCTGAGGGGACACGGCACAAAGAAGAAGATAAAAGGATTGCTAATTAACCCATAGTCGGGAGGAGAAGAGGTAGGTTAATACCTTTCCCAAGTCTATTTGAATATAACGAACCTGACTGAAATTGGAACACGGCTCTCCGATTAACAATTCCAAGACGTTATCCATTACACCACCTGCACATTCAAATTTACAGCACCTTGTATTCTCAAGTGGTTACCCTTCTAGGTACTCACCAGACTTGACGTTGCTTAACTTGACGGGAACCGGTGCTTTCAATGTGACGTGGCCATAAGTCGATTTATAATAATATCATACTAATTTTGGAGTGCATTAGTTTATTACTTAATAATAATAGAAAACTGATTCTCAACTTTAAACCTTAAAAGGTGTAATAATCGTAAGAGGGTTCAATTTTATATTTAATAACAATAGAAAACCAATCCTCCATTTTACGTTCAGTAGAAATTTTGTATTAATATCTAACATAAATATATCTTGAAAGTTTTATCAACATCGATTAATTCATACCAATTTTATTGTGAAAACTGACTTACATTATAAAATCAGACATTGTATAGTAATTGTAAGGGGGGTCAGTTTATTACTTAATGACAATACCAGATCGATCCCTTATTTTATGTCTAGTAGTGTCTCATACACATTTTTAATCTAAATGTATTTTGAGAAATTTACCAACATCGGTTGGTTAATAGGAATTTTCCTGTGAAAACATTGGCTTGTCTGACATAATGCTGGATTATCTAAAGAATATCAGACCAGGAAAAAAGTATTTGGGTGTATCTGAAACGGTACACTCCGTGGGAGAAGTAAAAATGGTAAACAGAATGTTGATCTAGGAATTCTAGTCAATTCAGATATCTATCTATCTATCTATCTATCTATCTATCTATCTATCTATCTATCTATCTATCTATTTCGATGTATACAGTGTAACCCGGATATAAGAGAGTTGTCGGGACCGGAGAAGAAGTCTCTTATATCCGGGTTTATCTTATATCCGGGTTACACTGTATCTATCTATCTATTTATTTATCTCTCTCAGCTAATTCATTATCTATCTATTTATCTATCTATCTATCTATTTCGGTTTATGTCTATCTATCTATTTATCTCTCTCAGCTAATTCATTATCTATCTATCTATCTATCTATCTATTTCGGTTTATGTCTATCTATCTATCTATCTATCTATCTATCTATCTATCTCAGCTAATTCATTATCTATCTATCTATTCTATTATCTATCTATCTATCTATCTATCTATCTCAATCTGTTCATATCTATCTATCTCAATCTGTTCATATCTATCTATCTGTCTATCTATTCATATCTATATATCTCAATCTGTTCATATCTATCTATCTATCTATCTATCTATCTATCTATCTATCTATCTATCTCAATCTGTTCATATCTATCTATCTATCTATCTATCTATCTCAGCTTATTCACATGTGTGTCTGTTTATATGGCAAGGTGTCCTAATTTTAAACAATTCTAATCCTCTATAATCTTCTCTATTAATATGAATGATAAATTTCTATTAAAACGTTATTCTCATAAATATAATAGGTTGGAAGATCACTGAAACAGTAAACAGGCCAGTTTCTATTCACCTCCAATAGATATTACCTATTTAAATACAGATAAATGTAGGCAGATGTTTTGGGGATAAAATATATATCTGAGAATCGCTAGTGAGTACCGCCAAAAATGCCATCCCCTGTTTTAAAGAAATTACCAAAAAGTGAAAATTATCCGATATTAATGAAATTTTCATCGGATTAGTGAGTGGTTTCTATAACGAATATGTTATTTTATTAGAAAACTTTGTAGATATATTTTTAGAGTGGCACGCCCACCACATCTCGATTGATTATTAATATTTTTAATGCGCGAAATTTGAAAATATATATTTCTACAGACGTTTTACAGGTAAAGAAACAGTTCTATTTTAAAGTAACAATAACCACAGGTCGAACAACAACAGAATGACACAACTTTTTTTAATGAACCTTTATTCAAAGGTTCACAAAGATTGGAAACTAGACTGACATGTTTAATATCAAATAGCATTTATTCATTCAACGATACAGAATTGGACGTATAAAACATTTACTTTTTTAAAAAAACCATTTGCAACGATTGGACATACCGTGAACACATTTACAGGGGTACAAATGTGGGTATAAATTTGTTGGAGTGTAATGAAAATTCTAATAACAGTTACATGACAAGAAGAAAAAGAAAATCGACATCAATATGAAATTCAAATATATCTCTAAATAACTGGACACATTTATTAAATTGTTATGTATTCTTCGTTGAAGATTCCGTCTGGTTGTTTGTCAGAGGCCACCTCATCACATCTCGACACGTTGATAGTCAGTGGTCAAAGAGACTGAGATTTTTAATTGTCCGCCAAGGTGAAAACGAGACCTGCGTGTGATTGGCTCGACTATTGACCAATCAGAAGACTTGTTACATGCCAATTAAAGAAATGCCGTTAAAGTGAACCCGGGCTTGGCCAATTCAACTTTAAATTCTTATGAGTGGCCATTACAGACGCATCAAACATTTGCTTTTATTCAGCGATTTGACTCATAAAACATTTGCTTTTTATTTAAAGATTTACAATGATTTGACACATAAAATATTGTCTGTTATTCAGCGTATTTGCTTTTTATTTAACGTTTTCCAATGATTGGACACATAAAACATTGTTCTTCAGTGATTTACAAGTATTTGACTCATGAAACATTTGCTTTTTATTTAATGTTTTACAATTATTGGACGCATAAAACATTGTCTGTTATTCAGCGATTTACAAGTATTTGACTCGTAAAACATTTGCTTTTTATATAACTATTTACAAGGATTAAACACATAAAATATTTGCATTTATTCAACTGTTTACAAGGTTTGCAAACATCAAAAATTTGCTTTTATTCAACGATTAACAAGGATTAGAAACATCAATCATTTGATGTTCAACGATTTACAAGAATTAAACAATACAAATATCCTTTATTTAACGATCTACTATAACATGGTAACACTTAGCAGGTGTATCTACTTAGAAACGTTTAGTTCGAAAATTATCTAAGCAATTTGCAAGAGTAGGCAAATAATTCTTTATTAAATGACCTTCAAGTTTAAAGTTTTGTTTTAGTTTGGTTTGTTGTACGGCATATCAAACTCAATGGGTTATTAAATGCCGACAAGATTTTTTTATTGCTGGTAATATTCTTTTTCCAAAAATGTAATGTCAGTAATATATTTTTTTAAATGTATTGCTGGTTATATATTTTTTTAAATGTATTGCTGGTAATTTTCTTTTCCAAAATATATTGCTGGTAATAACTTTTCCAAAAAAGAATTGCTGGTGTTAAAACCTATTTTTATACTGTTGTGGTAGGAACCACCTAATTTGCATAGTGGAGTACCGACCATATAAATATGGTTGGTACCGGGAAGACGAGGGGAGGAATCAAGAGATTCAATCCAGAGACTCTGCCCGACTGAGACTAAGTCAACACATTCTCCAGGAACGGTCTTCCCAAGAATATACAAAAGAAAGTAAATATTGTGTACACTTTCTTGTTTCAATACATTTTGTTCTAAGTACATTTTGTGTTGCATTATTATTCCATGCATTAGTCAAGTTTCAAACATATATATATATATATATATATATATATATATATATATATATATATATATATATATATATATATATATACACTATCATAGTGTTTTGTCACCATTTGGAGGGTTAACTATTTGCCCATAGTTGGGACCTTGACAGGTGCTACCGACCCGGACCTGGGAACACCAGCAATTAAGAGGTGGTTCAACACTTCCCAAAACCTCCTGATCAGCGTCCTTGCTGCCGAATGTAGTTTATTGTCTTAACCAGGACCTGTATGTAGTTTATCATCATAGCCAGGACGGCAACTTTAAAGGTATTTTATTATGAAAATGAAATGCTTAACAAAGAGTATAGAATTTTATTCATTCATTTATTGAATTTATCTTTTCATATTCTAAGATTCCCGAACTGAAAAATCGTGGAAAATATTAATTTGTGTTTTTCTGTCAGTTTTCCTCTTTAACGATCCAAAAACATCTCAGATATGTTTAAGAGCCTTCATTTTTTTTTTTTTTTTTTTTTTTTTAGAGTCGATTTTGTCTCTCTTTTTTACCTTGTGGTTGTGGCTGCCAATATTTTTTCTCTGGGCCGCATTTTTGGTAAATAGCAGGACAGACTGGGTTCTATAGCCTTGGATGGCAACTGGTCTAGGAGAAGGAAAAAATCTGAATTCAAAACCTGTGGAGAGTCGTTTGGGGACCTTGCGGCACGTAGTGTACCAGGTCTCTGTAATCGGCCGTTCAAAAAGTGTGGATGGTCCTGCACGAAACCTTCACTACTATAATCAAATCTCATGTGATATACATGCGAATTTGGGGACCGCTTGTGAATTCCAAATTCCCATGAAACTCCAATATTGGAGCCGGCTCAACCCACCCCGGGTGGATGCCGTTACAGGTACAGGTAGGTATTTTTAGAATGAAAATTTGCCCGTGCCTCATCAAATTTTATGTGATAAAAAAGTACATTTAAAAAATTAAAAAAAATATAAAGAGTGTTAAAGGGAGATAACTGCATCTTCAAATTCAGAATATTATCATTGATAACTCTCTCCTCCAATTTGCAGACCCTAGTTACGATATTCTTAATACTTGATATAATGCAAAGATATCAGAATGATAAAATCGGTCAATAATTATTTATAATTATTTATACTAGGACTCATGCATGTAATTACAAGTAATCCATAATAATATTTTAAATTTTGAAATCATATTTATTTTTTGGCATATGAATTTTTTGAAACTTTTTCTAAATCTTTGTCTTTCAATCATTCCGTCTCACCGGCTTTCCTCTTCCGCTTCACCTGCTACACTCTTCCGCCTCACCTGCTATCCTCTTCCGCTTCACCTGCTATCATCTTCCGCCTCACCTGCTTTCCTCTTACGCCTCACCTGCTTTCCTCTTACGCCTCACCTGCTATCCTCTTCCGCCTCACCTGCTATCCTCTTCCGCCTCACCTGCTATCTTCTTCCGCTTCACCTGCTATCCTCTTCCGCCTCACCTGTTATCTTCTTCCGTCCTACGTATGACGCGCTCCACACCATTTGGGAACTATTGCCTTATAGAAATATCACAAAATATGTTGTTCTTGCCCAACTAAGCGAACGTGAATATTGCCAGAAATTCGTCCTTTATGAATTAATGAAATTTCTTTAATTACGCTATTTCTCAAAATATGGAGGCATGATGAGTTGGTGGCCAGGATTTTGAAAGCTGATTTTCAAGGAAGGACTTTTTTTCTACGCCTGGCCAACACTGAGCTTTATTTGGGGTTATGCTCAGTTTAATTAGATTAAGTTGAGTCAGTTAACGAGTGGCACACCAACACTATATTGGGTCATGGAAAGGGAACTTAAATCATTTATGACAATACGTACCATCGTCGATACGGGTCCAGCTTTTCCAAGATTCAGAAAGGTAAACATAGGCCCGGTTTACACGGTAGGGACCTCCACAAAAAAAAAAAAAAAAGGAAGAAAATACTATATCTAAAGTTTAAAATGAATTTCTCAAAATGAAAAATCTTTCTTGAAGCTTTTATATTATTTTTTTATTTCAAGCTAATAGATTAAATTTAATATTGCCCATAAGTATTGCAAAAATTAATTTAAAACTAATTTGAATTGACTGGAAAGGTATTTTTTTAAATTTCTTTTTCTAAAATGGCTGATTATCGCGGTTTTTCGGTCGTCTTTCATTGCAATGTGATTCTGTTTATTAAAATATTTTCCAAAAATAAAATATACTTTTCTGAAATATTATTTGAGGAATATTAGCTGATGTAAAGTATAATTAATATTTGGAGGTGAATTAACAGAAAAGATCTTAGGATTTAAGGTTAGATAGATAGATAGATAGATAGATAGATAGATAGATAGATAGATAGATAGATAGATAGATTTTCTTATGTCAATGAAGAGGATGCTGATGACACTTGTTTCAAGAAAAATCAAACGAGGAAACAAAAAAATGTAGGAAATAAAATTAGAAATAGGAACAAACACGGTTGGATAGATAGATAGATAGATAGATAGATAGATAGATAGATAGATAGATAGATAGATATTAGCAGACTTAGATAGATAGATAGATAGATAGATAGATAGATAGCAGAGAGATAGATAGATAGATAGATAGATAGATAGATATTAGCAGACTTAGATAGATAGATAGATAGATAGATAGATAGATAGATAGATAGATAGATAGATAGATAGATATGTATTAGCAGACTTAGATAGATAGATAGATAGATATGTATTAGCAGACTTAGATAGATAGATAGATAGATAGATAGATAATGTATTAGCAGACTGAGATAGATAGATAGATAGATAGATGATAGATAGATAGATAGATAGATAGATAGATAGATAGAATTTACACCAGGATTTTAGAAATACCCCTTAAGAAGACGGAAAAAAGAAATACTAAAACGGCTTTTAGCACACAGGCCATATTTATTTTATCTCTTTATGTGCCCGTAACTTCTACAAGGACAACGTTAGAACAGGAGCTGGAACCATTACGCTACGTAGCGTCAATTCATGGTCCTCATTTCATCCGCTTGACCTGCTAACCTTTAACTATTCCGCCCCTAAAGTCCCGATGATCTGTCTGATTTTGTATTTGTTTTTATCTCTCCGTCTCTCTCTCTCTCCCTGTCTCTCTCTGTCTCTCTGTTTCTCTCGTCTTCCTGTCAGCAGTAAACAGAAACACCGGAAGTGGCCAATAGACGAAATGATGGAGAGAAAGACAGATAAGGCTAAAGTGAAATGACGTGATGAAGAAAGAAGATGTAAGCCGATAAGAGGCAGGAAGGCAGTGAAAAAGATGCTGATGACACTTGTTTCTAGAAAAATAAAACGAGAAAGGAAATAACAAAAATAATGTAGCAAATAAAATTGGAACATGGAACAAACACGTTTAGATAGATAGTTATTAACAGATTGAGATAGATAGATAGATAGATAGATAGATAGATAGATAGATAGATAGATAGATAGATAGATACAGAAACGGCAGATAGATAGATAGATAGATAGATAGATAGATAGATAGATAGATAGATAGATAGATATAAACAGACAGATATAAACAGACTCAGATATAGATAGATAGATAAATAGATAGATGGATAGATATAGACTCAGATAGATAGATAGATAGATAGATATTGTGAGTTTCAACTGGTATGGCATTTTTATTCGTTTAGCCAGTTGAACATCAACATAACATTCAACCGGAAGTTCATGTAATTGGTGTAAAGTCAATTATTTAAATTTTCTCGCTAATAAAAATGTCATTCCTTACCTAAGTTCTTATCTCAGACGCAAAAACTTAGCAGGAATTGCAAATCACAATAGGCGCAAAATTGCAGATAAAACTCAAGCACTGTGTACAATTTTAAAAGGAAAACACATTCATTATACAATTACGGATCAAATACAAATACAAAGTTTGCACGAAATTTTCCTTTTGAGCGCCTATTAAGGCAGGATAACAATTTCTGATAAAAAGATTACCATCGAAAAAATGGAAAAAAAATTACATTTTGTGAGAAGACCTGGATTTTGAAAAAGACTAAAAAAGAAAACAATTGAGGAATCCAGTAATAAAACAATGGCGTAACCACCTTTGAGAAAAAACGAAAACACCTACTTTTACTCTCTCCCTGAGACATTAAGCAATTTTTGAAAAATCCTTTTTAAAATCACACTATTCATGCTTGTGAAAAGTTCTTTAAATTCTTTTTTGTTCTTTGCTGTCCAGCCTTTCACTTGAACTTCAAAATTCTTTAGTCTCTCTGCAGCTGGCTTGTAACTGGTTCCATCTCAATACTAAAAGACTTCTTGCTCCTTGATTTGCTGTCAACAGTTTTTCTCCTCGCATTTACTGACATGAGCTCTATATATTTGGAAAAATATAATCACAATGACCACTATCCTCATTTCCATAAACTGGAAATTCATCCTTCACAAATTTTGGCGGGTTTTAAACGCTGCGCCGAAAAAGATATACAATTGTAACAATACAAGGTGTCGCCATTTTATATTTTTAATTTCGCGCATGCGCGTTCTTTGTTTTTGATTTTGTCGTCTGCACAATATAGTCTGTGAGACAAAGAACACCATAAGGCAATTCACTCCGATAAAATTTTGGAAACGGCATGCTGTACTGCTTGGCATTCATGCTGGAAGCACCAATACGAACATTTCAAAGTGTCTGGGCGTCAATTTGAGCACAGTATAGAGGATTCGGAAAAAGTTGAATGAGTCTAATGGTGATTACGAAGGTACTGCAGCTCGGAAAACTCACTGATCGTTCTGATAAGAAAAGAATTCTCGAATTTGTTGGTGGAGGCTTCAGACTAAACACGGAGGCCTTCATCAAGTGCCTTAGGGAGCTAGTGCTACCCTGTGACAAGAAGGTGGCTGCTGGAAGGCACAAGCAGGAGAACCCAGTCGTGGCTGTCGGACAATTTCTGCAACCACATCACCCCTTATATGTATCTAACTTATCAGCCTACAAACCACTTGATTATTATGTGTGAGGCCCAGTTGAACGAGAGACCAACAAAACTCCTTGTAACACCAAAGATGAGCTGAAAGCAAGGATTATGGCAGCATTCACCAACTTCAATAAGGAGACCGTCCAGAAGAGATTCAGGAGATTCCGAAGACGTCTGAAAGCTGTGGTTGAAGCCAATGGCGGTTTTATTGAATAAATTTACTCTTTAGTGTTTCAAGGTATTTTTGTGTAATTTTGGTAAATATATCTGTTAAAATGAGATGCCAGTGTTATTTTCATTTTTGCGTCATTTAGACGACAATTTATCCATCGCACCCTGTATATCTATTAAAATGAAATGTCAGTGTTATTTTCATTTTGTCGTCATTTAGACGCAGAATTTTTAAAAATGAAGAATCTAGAATCTTTTATTTTAGTTTTAATTTCGAGCTAAAAGATTGAATTTAATATTGCCAATAAGCAAAAACTTTGCCGTATTTAAAAGCAAAACAAATTTAAATTGACATTTTAAATTAATTTTTCGCTAAAAAATCGCTAATGTTAGCGGCATTTTTAAGCATCTGTCATCACAATGTCATTCTTTTTATAAAAACTCTTTCAAAAATAAAATATACTTTTCTGAAACTTTATTTGCAGAAGATTAACTGATTTAAAGTTTAATTAATCTGATTTGAAACAAATATTTACTTTCAGTTTAAAATGAATGCATTTTTAATACTTTAAAGTTTTAAAAAGTGAAAAAAATTATCGTAAAAATTCACTATTCATCATTTTTTTTTCCTTAAAACAATAGTCAATAATATATTTTATTCATAAAAGCAATTAAAAAATTTTCTAATGAAATAATGTCTTCGTTTTATTGCATCTTTTATTTTACGATTCAGAGCAGATTTTCGGTAACTAGAGGCCCTGTTTTACAAAAATAATTGATGATTTAAATTCTCCAAGGTGTTATACGTACAACTAATAAGCGGTATATAAATTAATTTCTCGAAATTTCATAAAATTGAATAAGTCTGTGTGGGCGGGTAACATATGTAAAAGATGTTTTTAGATTTTCTAAAAAAAGAAACCTTTAATAATTTAATTCGTTTGTGTCCTGAAAGTTTCATTAAAATCCGGCAATTATTTGATTTTTGCAAGAATTTCCAAATCAATGTGTTTTTCACCGTCAAGAAAGATGCTAAAATATTCTATACTAATCTTTGATCGCCACGCTGACGTAAGAAAATCAAGATTTATAAACAAAAACTTTCTAACACACACATACAACATCAACACTGGAGTTAAAAAAAAGCAACAATAATAAGATGGAATAAAACAAGCAATATAGTAATAGTAATAATGAAGAGTGTATAGAGCCAGAATGTTGGGATAAAAAGCAACAATAATAAGATGGAATAAAACTAGCAATAAAATAATAGTAATAATGAAGAGTGTATAGAGCCTCGGTGTTGCGATAAAAAGCAACAATAGTAAGATGGAATAAAACTAGTAATAAAATAATAATAATAATAATAATAATAATAATAATAGTGAAGAGTGTATAGAGCCAGAGTGTTGGGATAAAAAGTAACAGTAATAAGATGGAATAAAACTACTAAATAATAGTAATAATGAAGAGTGTATAGAGCCACAGTGTTGGGATAAAAGGCAACAATAATAAGATGGACGAAAACTAGTAATAAAATAATAATAATAATAATAATAATAATAATAATAATAATGAAGAGTGTATAGAGCCAGAGTTTTGGAATAAAAAGTAACAATAATAAGATGGAATACATCCCGTAATAAAATTATAAATAGTGAAAATCATTTAAAATACAAAATATATTCAAAAAATAATAACCAAAGGCACAAGTATTTTACCGTGCCAATATTCCCGTGGGTGGATGTGTGGGGTGGGGTGAAGGTGTTAAAACTTCAAATATATCTTTCCATATCTAATTAAATTACCAAACATCAAATTTCTTAGTCGAGACGGGAAATTTTCAGAAATCCCATCGGAAGTGAAAAGTCCCACAATAAACGAATGGGAAAGGTATAAATTCAATAAAAGATAAAAATAAAATTATCTTTCTCTAGGAAGTGAGAGGTTGGGGCCTCGTGTAAGGTTCCAAAAGTACTCAGCTGCCGTCTGAAGTAGTCATTCGTCTTCAGAGGCTGCAAAGAAAATGTCTAACAACAATATCATCTTTACACTGCCTGTTTGGATGGATTTCTAAAGGAACCTGCCATAAGTACCGTATATTTTCGCGTATAAGTCGACCTTTAGATTAGACGAGGTAAAAAAAAATATAGCCTAATTTCCTGAATTTATCCTATACCTGTAGTATAAGTCGACTGCTTATTGATTATATAAAGATGATGTTATTGGAAAGGTTGTTCCTTAGAGATTCAAAATAAACAAAACTGATTCTATATCATTATTTTCCAACACACGTCACCTAAAAAGGAAACCATTTTTTGTTTACGTTTCATTACGTGATCTCTTGCCAATTCTTCTTCTTTTTCTTCTTTTCTTATATCTAAATAGTTACAGCCTGGTGCACTAATGGCCATTTACTTATACTTCATCGACAATCACAAAACACTGTACAAAATAACATTACGATATTGTACGATAATAGTAGATTCCATTGCTGTGAACACAATCATAATTCAATGTTTACATTTTCTCTGCTGAGCTTGCTTGGATACAAGTTTATTTCATTGATATGGAATTATTCTTCAAATAGGCAATTTATTATGAAGTTATTCCAGTAACATATAAGGTAGAAATGGTTTTATCATCGTGGTTAGCCTTACCGACAAATATCACTCGGAATTTAAGGATTCTTTTTTAGAATTTTAGTATAGGACGTTTCGCATTGTCTGAATTGTTGTTCTTTACGGCAGCGAATCTTGAGCGATTTCCTAAAAGATGAAGAAGAGACTCGGGGCGACGGTGCTGTAGTTCTACAGAAGAATGCTAAGGATAGACCGAGTGTGTGAGCAACAATGAGGTCTTAGAGAGGATGTAAAGAAGGAAGAGACTTATACTTAACATTAGAAAAAGGCAGCTGGGACACATAATGAGGAAAGAGGGCTCGGAGAATCTGATACTCATGGGTCGAATAGAGGGAAAGAGAGACAAGGGAAAGCAGCGTGTGACATACCTGGCGAGCTTGAGCAGGTGGATGACAGAACATGGTCTGGGGGAGGAAGCAGAGGGAAGGAACTTGTTGAGAATTGCAAGGAATAGAGAGAAGTGGAGAGCCATGATCGCCTACGCCCTGAAAGGACACGGCACATAGAAAGAAAAAAAGAAATATAGGACGGCCCCAATTTTTTTAAGGGTGATTTGGGGAATTTAAATGTCGTCTTATATGCGGAAGAATACGGTATATATATATATATATATATATATATATATATATATATATATATATATATATATATATATATATATGTGTGTGTGTGTGTGTGTATGACGAGATTCAGGAGCACCCAGGGAGACTCGAACTCACTACTCAGTCGTTACTGATTGAGAGAAACAAACTTGCTAACCATTACTACACGTTGAAGTGCAAAAAGTGCGGACAGGTGCATCTACACGCCCACGCAAACACAAGCACGTGCACACGAATACACAGAAATAGAATTTTTTTTGTTTTACTTTTATTAT